AATCATTCCATTGGGATTTTTGTGAGGGCAGGAAATGATAGAATGCAGGTAAGTTTATACAAGTCCAATAGGATAATGGCAGCAATCTGTAGGTTTTTCTTCAAGGGCTGAATATAGTGGCACTTTATGAATGAGCCAATGCTTTGAACTTAGTGATTGGCTCCTCTCATTGTGTTATGTGATCTTCACATCATTGTGCTCATACGTCATGTCTATAAAAGACATGTAAACTTACAAAGGCATTTTTAGAGGAGAGGTCCTTGGTCTTTTCAGGAAGTATAAACTGTTATACTGCTTCTGTGTTTAAAGAATATTTGTAATCTTTATCATTCTTTTGGAGTTAGAGGTATGTGTTTTCATTAGAAAACATTCATTATTCCCCCATTGTTCATTTTCTTGCTCACCTGACCACCCAACCATCTGTCTCTGTGTGTATCCGTATATTTATTTTTCCCAAAGTACCAGTATGTGTAATTCCTCCAAGAGAAAATGACATTCAAGTGATTTGGCATATAGACACTAAAAAGAAGAAAGAAATCCCCAGAAATGTGTTTAAAAGACAGAGGTTCTTTGTTCAGTGTGATTGGAAGATGGAACACTAGCAGCTGCCATCCAACTACAGAATCAGTCTGTTGATAAGTTCTCACATGTTGAAGAGGAAGCGTTGTATTAGGTTTCACAAAAGGTGCTTGCTGGCATCGGGTAATGGCTGGTTGCTGCTTATGGGTAAGCATGAATCTCTAAAGCTGGCAATACCCCTAGGTCTATGCCTTTTAGAACTGGTGGAGACACCAAGGACTATTAATCCAGTCTCCTAATTTTTCAAATGAGGAACTAATGCAAGGTTCAGAGAGGTGAGTGGATTGTCTAAGTTCAAGTAGGATCCTGGGTGCCTGGCTCCATACCCCAGTGTTGTCTCCATTTGTGTTTTGTGTCTATCTGAGAATTTGTCTGTTTGTCTGTGACCCCACCCCATGGCCTCTTGGTCACAATTGATTGTTCTAGGTTTGATTCCTGAATAATACCAGGCCAGTCCGGTTCCCCGTCTTTCTGAGTCTGATTGACGGCCCCAAGAATGGTAAATCTGATAAAGAGAGGAAGTCTCTCTGGTGGATTAATGTCAGGTATACAGCTCAGGGCTGTGATGGGCATTGCCATCCCTAGTAGAGGAAGCTATTTTTGGCTGTTCTTGAAACCCATCACATCCTTACCCTTCCAGAAGTTTGGATTTTTTTCTCTTGGATTTTTATGAGCCAGAAATCATTCTTCTTACTTAAAATCATTCTACTTGCAATTCTTGCACTAGCAATCAAAAGAATATTGATTAATATTCCCATTGACTTCTTTATTTTAATACTTAGAGTGATTCTCCTTTTCATTTCTTCAAATTCTTCATCCTTAAAGATTATGGCACAAAATACAATAAGTAGTTGTCTCATTTGTTTATAGTCTGAGTTTACAATCTAAATGAATGTCCAGATTATACACATTTGATCACAGTGAATGTGTTTCTTACCATCTGTAATTATAATTTCATTCCAAAGCAGTTATAGATTGGGGCACTTAAATAATCTATTTGAGACATTTTATTAGGGTGAAGGAAGCTTAATTATTATTATTTCTTTAATCTTCTTCACTTATTTTAAGCAACTCCTTGCATATATACTAATATTTTCCCATTGATTTTTAGAGAGAGTGGAAGGGAGAGAGGAAGAGAGAGAGAGGAACATCAACGTGAGAGAGAGACATCAATTGATTGCCTCCTATATGCACCCCTACTGAGGCCTTGTCTGGAAATTGAACCCATGAACCTTTGGTGCGCAGGCTGATGCTCTGTTCGCTGAGAAACACCAACCAGGGCAGACACCAGTTTTCTGTATGGGTACAGAAAGCATCTACCATGGTGCCCAACATGTCACTCCATGTTAATTTTTCTTTTCTTACTGGGAACAATAAGAAATAGTGTTTCCTTTTATAGAGAGAATATTTAACATTTTAACAGGGAAATTGATACCCTATCACCACTCCTCCTAATTGCTGAATGTCAGCTGAGCACTGGTTCCAGCTGTTGTAGAAGGTTATCCAGGTAGGTACCTTAATAGAGTTTGTTCAACATGATAATCTTTGAGAACCAGCAAAATGCTATAAATTGTCTTCCTACCATCAGTATTGCTACCACCAAATGTTTAGCACCTTAGAGGTTACAAAGTTCACGTATATAAAATCAATTCTCCCAACCCAGAAAGATGTCTTTTAATTAAAGAAGCTGAAGCATGGGTTGTTTTTAAATATATCTTGCTTAAGAACACAATTGTGACCCTGGAACTAAAAAAAAAAGTCTTCTGTCTGAGTCAGTATTTTTTTTTTAATATCACAGTGATAATATGAAATCTGAGTACTTCCCATGAAAAATTTGGAATCTTTAGATATCATTAATCCTTGTTTCATTAAATTATCGAATGAATTGATACCAAGGATGAGGAACCCTGATATTAAGCTTCCCTGGTGACCTGGGACCCCATCCCCTTCAGAGCACTCACATACTGTCTTATCATCCTCATGCCACACACCACACAAGTCAGGAGTGTGCGAGTGTGTTTGTTTTGAGGAGGTTGGGAATGGGGAAGGTGGTGCATGAGTGAAAGCATTGTTAGTCACTAAGAGGGTTTGAAAGGTGAATCAGATATCCTCACCCCACAGACCTTGGGTCTGTATAAAGGCAGTGAGCTGAAGAACAGATTCAGTTAATAGGAAGAACGGGAGCCTGGAAGGACAGTTCATAAACATAGACCTTGCGGAAATGAGATACAAGGAGTCCAGTTTGGCTGGAGCATATCATGTGTAAAAATAAATAGGGAGAGAAGGTTGGGAAGGGAGAGAAGGGCTAGGCCAGGGTAAGGAGTTTGAGCATCATTCTTTGGGCAGTTGGGAGCCATTGATGGTTTTTGAATGGTTTAGTGATGTGATCATAGCTTGGGCACATATTTCTTATTAGAGTAAACTTTGATATCTCTGTTTCCCATGCCCCTCATATAAACAGCCCTGTTGGTTCTACTTACAGAATAAATCGTGGGCTTACCACTCTGCTCCACTGCCACTAGGCTCACCCAAGTCCCTGTCATCTCTCAGCTGGGTTGCCATGGCAGCTTCTTTGGTGGCTTGCTGCTTTCACTCTTGCCCTGCCAACCAGTCCAGTGCAAGTAAAAACTGCCATTGTCCTGGTTAAAGCCCTGCATCATCTTTTCATCACTCTTGGAGTAAAATCCAAACTCCTAGTGTAACCCTACATGGCCTGACCCTGCCACTCTCTGAACACATGGTTTATCGTCTCTTCCCCTTTCTCACTTGGCTCTTGCCACTCTGGCCTCCTCTGTATTTTCTGAACCCAAGCTCCTTCCCACCTCAGAGTCTGCATTTGCTTGGTTGACCTGCCTAGAATGCTCTTTCCCCAGACCTTCACATGATTGTTAGCTCCTTACCAAAGATGCCTTCCCTGCCCCTTGATGTACAGTAGTCCCTGCCCCAGTCACACCCTCTGTCATTTACTGGGACTCATTTTCTTCATAGCACACTTACTACTGTCTAAATGGGTTTCTTTATTGACTTGAGTTTATTGTCCCCCAACCTGCTCAACTAGATGTGAGCAGGGATTTCGTTTTGTTCACTGCTATATCGCCAATACTTAGAAAAGGTCTAGCACACAGTGCATATGTATTGAATTAATAAAGTTAGAGATTTGAATGAGTGGAGCAGGGAAGCCAGACCGGAGCCTGCTGCAGTATGTGCAGTGCAGGGTGCACTGAGAGGTTTTTCAGAGGAAGCAAGGGGCAGAGGCAGGATTTGCCATGGCTTGGGAGTGCTGAGTCATTGGAGAGGGAAAAGGTAGAGACATTTGAACTTGGACCAATTATAAGGAACCCAGGATTCTTTTGGACACAACCAACCATCTTCATTACAACGCATCCTGTACTCCTGCCTTCAGAAGAACTTGAAGCCTCCAACTTCTGGTGCTCTTGGGTTTTATGACAAAACTGGGTGATTTCCTATAGGTGTCCCCTCACTCCAACCAACCTCTCCTCCACCCACCCACCCAACTCCTTGGAAGCTTAGGTCTCAGCTTTCATAGGTCTCCTTTGCCCATTTTCTAAAAGGTCATTTTTTTTTCTTGTCTGTCTTTTTCTCTGTCCTTATTGGGCCTTACCTTTTTTCTTCCTTTCCCCTCAGCTTACTGGGATATGAGGAAAGAGTGGAGATAAACGCATGTGTTTAAGCTACTAAGTTTAACCAGAGTTCCCCCCAAATCCAGTTTGGTTGGCTTTTATTTTTACTAATTTCTTTGATAGCACTTGGGTTCACATGCTCACTTGCTATGCCAGATGTTTGAAGAAGATGTCCTTGGAGAGGAGGCAAGAGGGGTCCTAAAATGTCGTGCTCTTGAAATGCTCACGGCAGCTCAGTGTGAGATCCCAGAGGCCAGTCATTTCTAACCACTGGACTCTCATAGAAATGTAGTTTCACCCTTATTTGTGTAAACCTTCGGGAGTGTTTTAACATGTTTGTAATAAAATTTGTGGCTTATTGTTTAAAATTGAATTTAAGGTACTAAATCAAAGCTTTTGGTGGCATGCCCCTGACAGCAGGGAGAGCCTGGGAAGTGATCCCTAAGAGCTGATCAAAGGGAGTTGCTGAGCATTTTTTCCCCCCTGTATTTGTGTTTGGTCCTTTAATCTGGTAGTGTTTCCAGTTCCATTCTGAATACAGTAATGCACACTCCACCCCCACTCAAGTCTTCTTGGCAGCATCTGGCACCATCTTTGCCAAATGACCCCTGTTCAGGCATCGGCCTGCCTTTGCTATCAAGCCTATACAAGGCAGGAACAATGGTGATTGTCAGGAAACGGGCATCGTTCAAGATCTTATTCATAGCACATTTTTGTTGTAGTAATCAAATGAAAATAGTAAAATTGACTGAGAAGTGATCACTAGTCATTTCTGCCTAGGTTCACCTTTCCTGGCCAGTGAAGACGGTGTGCTTGGAGGAGTGATTGTTCTTCGATCTTGCAGATGTTCTGCAGAGCCTGACTCCTCCCAAAATAAGCAGACACTTCTAGGTAAGCTGGACATAAACAGTATGTGTGTGTCTTTCTTTCATATTTTCAAGACATGGAAAGATTTATATCCTTAAGTCAATAAGCTGTGGGAGAGCCAGGATGCTCTGTTGACATGTAACGTTCTCTAGTCTCCTGATCTTTTTGCATAGATAAACATCCAAAAGATGAATGTTTACTTCTGAGTCTGTGCGTAGAGAATAGTTTTCAAATGGGCTTAGAACCAAGGATCTTCACAAAAGCTCAATATTAAGAATATGGGACCATGTATTTATCCCCAGCCTTATTCTACAAAACATTTGAGATGACCCATAACAATATACACAGTAACATAGAGTTCCTTCCTGTCCTCCCTTCCAAAAAGGAATCAGAACCATGTGAAGAACTACTGGCCTAGAAATCCATCCTGACTCCATCCCTTATTAGCTGCGACACCTTCATGCATCAGTCTTACTGCTCTTTGTCACTTCACATCTGTAAAATAAGGACATCTGCCATGTCCTCTCATAAAGCTGTGGTGAGGACGGACCAAATGAGTGTTTTTCAGATTTGCAGATGTTCATCCAGATGTGTGCTTTTGTGTCTAGCCAAATGCATCAGTGGGGATAAAACCCAGCCTGCCCTCCACTTGCCATGGCCCAAACTTGTAGGCTACCTCTCCCATGGGGTGTCTTTTTCTAATTCATTCACCCAGAGGGGGTATTTTAAAAAATCTGCATAAAGGTACCACATAAACTAGCAGGGAGCTCTGTATGTTATTTTTTTATTGACTTTTAAATTGAAGTACACATACATGCAGAAAAGTGCACAAATCATAGCTGCAACTACTTGACAAATTATTACAAAGTGAACCCACCTATGTAAGCAGTACCCATATAAAAAAATAGAACTTAACTACAAGTCCAGAACACCCCTTGTAATCCCTCCCAGTCTCTGTCCCCTCCAAAGTTAACCACTATGTTGACCTCTAACACCATGATTAGTTTTGCTTGGTTTTATATTTTATATAAATGGAATCATAGGATGTGTACTATTTGTGTCTGATGTGTCCAGTCAACCTTAAGCTTATTAGATTCATCCATCTTATTAGACATGTCATTAGTTTGTTCATTTCCATTGTTGTATAGTATTTCATGGTATGGATATTCCAGTCTGTATTTATCCATTCTTCTCTAAGTATTTTTTATATGAGCAGTATAGGTAATGCACAGGTAGTTCAGACCTTTGTATCAAATTCCTTATAGAAAGTGTGGGTGGTGCCTGATCTATGTTGTATGATTGTTATGGATTGTTATAGTACAAGTCTCTTTATACCCTGAGCTTCTGTGAGTATAAAATAGAAGACTCAGCATTTTTTATGAGTGTAAACAGTATTTTCTCTATAGACGCCCAAAGAGCTTTCATAGAATCTCTCCCCTCATTCCTCAAAGGAAAAAAAATGTACTTTTATATAAAGGACCTCTTTCTCCACCTGGATTCTGACCACCAACCTCATCATATTTTTGGTAATCTCTCTTTCTACCCATTATACTTGGTAATGATTTGGCTTTGGGACATTTTTTTTTAAATGGCCACCTTTTAAAAAAACAAACAAGTCTATAATAATAAAAGCTTAATATGCTAATTAGACCGGAAGATCTTCCGGACAAAGCCAGGGCTGTGAGGAAAGCGCAGGTCCCGGATGCCTGCCATTGGCTGGAGGGAAGCCTGGGTCCTGGGTGCCAGGGAAGCCAGTGCTGGCAGCCGGGGGAAGAAAGACCTACTCTTGCATGAATTTCGTGCATCGGGCATCTAGTAAATAAATAAATGGCCACCTTTTGTTAAACTAAGGCACATTAGCTATTTGCTTCTTAATCATTGCTGAATCCTTTGAATATCTTTCCCAGTAGATAGTAGGGAGTTTGATTTTAGAATATGCAGAGGTTGTAGCTGGGCCTTCCAAAAGAACTCAGAATAACCCTTGGTACGCGGAGTTGGGAGGGCAGTTATTACAACTGCTTCGTGGACTGATCTGGACAGAGGGTCACTTCTTTACTGAGCCTGGACTCTTGCCCATTAGAGTTAATCCTGAAGATTGTAAGGTATTTTTGATGGTATCATATAGAAATGCATATTTAAGGATAACTCATAGAATTTTTGCTTATGTTAAATGGTTTTTATTAGCAAGTTAGTAATTTTCTCTGTCTTAAGAAGAATGAAATGTAATGCCAATTTGTGAAATTTGTTAAAGTGAACTAGAGGGATTGATGTTTGTGAGGTTAATCTACTAAAACCCAGTGAATACTAGTATCAACTCATAGATGCTACAAACTACATGGTTATTTACATTTTTGGCTTTGAAAAAGTTATGTATATTCAGTTTGTAGTAAGAAAGCAAACATGGTACAGAAGGATAGGAAGGGAGACGGAAAGTCATCTCTGCTGCCCCATTCTCAGAGCCACCCGTCTCTGGATCTGGTTATTCTCATGGGAAGCACCTTCACTCTATGGGATGTATTCATGCTTCTATTTCTGGATTAGTCAGTAACTTATGCCTCTTGGGGGGGAAAAATTAACACAACGCACACCAGTTCCACTCCCCTTTCCTCCTGACTTTTGTTAGAATTCTACTCTAGCTTGAAATTATGTTTTTTAATTTTATTGCTACTTTAACACACTATTTCTTGATTCATCAAATTTATATAATCAACTATCCCTCACCCTTAAACTATGTAAGAATAGGAAAGTTCATGTGCTCCTTTCCTTTTTCCTCCTTTTCTCACTCCCAACCCTACCTAACCTCTAGCAACCATACCATTATTGTCATGATTATTAACATTTACATTCTGTTCTGTAGCTATACTTTTCTCTACTTATCTTTGATTAGAGGTTGATTCCCCAATTAGTAATCAGCATTGACAGTATCAAGATTGTGTAAATAGTATTCACTGCAGATCCCGGTAGTGGAGGATTATACCTATAAGGGAAGTGTCTGTCATAAACCTCTGCCTGCAAAAGGAGAATATTTCAAATGTGAAGCTCAGGTGGATTCTCCTGTGTGGCACCCTATCAGTTGCCCCAAATCAGGCCACAACTTCATTTGCTTCATGTTTGGACCATGACTTCTCATTTATCTATACATATAAAGAGGTAATATGCTAATTGCCATTACAGTGTCCCCATAACGACCAATTTGCATATTGATGCGTGCGCAGCAGGGGCGGGTGGCTGGAGCCAAGTTCCCGGGGGTCTGAGGAGATCTCCTGACAGGAGCCCGGACTGCAAAGAAGGAAGAGGAAGCGGCCACGGGGAGCTCTTCCAATCCCCCTGCACGGACACCCTACCCCAGCCCCCGCATCCCTGGGGGGATGGATGGACACCCTACCCCAGCCCCCGCACCCCCGGGGGGAATGGGGAGGCTGACCGGATAGGGAGAAGACCCAACCTCGGGGTAGCTGCAGCCCGCACCTCCGACTCGGATCTCTTCCCCCACCATCCCCACCAGGGGCACCCACAACAATAGCACGCTGGCAACCACCTGTCAGCGCCCCTGAGGCACCGGGGCCCACGGCCCACTGCTGCTGGACCCCCTCTGCTGAGGCCGGGCACACCTCTCCTCCCTACAAATCCAGACCCGGATGGAGACAGCGCACTGAACCTGGCAGGGGGCACAGCTAAACCCCGCCCTCCTAGCCCATCTGGCTCCACCCTGGCCCTGCCCCCACCTGGCTCCAGGAGATTGGAGCCTGACCCTGAGCAGGTACAGCTGCGAAACAGCCACCAACAATTTAAAGAATGGCGCCAAGCGGGAAGGTTTGACAGTTACTCCCCATTCAGCTTTGCTGCCTCCCTAGTGCCCCCCTAACTCCCTGCCCCACCGCCAGTGCCTCCAGGGACAACCACTGCTACAGGGCTGCTGGCCAGAGCCCGCCCCTCCGAGGCCTGTGAAACCCTCTGCAAAGCTTCCATAGCTATAGTCCCAGGAAACAATCATGCCCTCCTCCCCTAATCAGCACCTGCTACCTGCAAGGGTACCCATGGGCTTAAAAATAACAATCCCTTCCCGTTTAGACATCACTTACTTGATGAAACATTTCTAGGTTTATTAGCTCAGAACCTCCTCATGACAACCCAGGGAGGTAGGCGGAGAAGAGATTACAGTTCCCATGGTATATGTGTATGTATTCAGAAATGAAGCTCAGAGAGGAAAAGTTTCAAGCTCACTGGTTCCCAAGGTGCAGCACACGCTCCATAGGGGGGCAATTCGATTTTAAGTGGGGGCAATTTGAGAATGAATTAACAGTGATTTTTTTGCATTTCTTATTATTCTATGGGGCCTCATCTACAGTGTATCCTACATAATAAAAGGCTAATATGCAAGTGACTGAATGGTGGAATGACTGGTCACTATGATGCATGCTGACCACCAGTGAGCAGACACTCAATGCAGGAGCTGCCCCCTGGTGGTCATTGTGCTCCCACAGGGGGAGCACTGCTCAGCCAGAAGCCAGGCTCATGGCTGGTGAGCACAGCGGCAGTGGTGGGAGCCTCTTCTGCCTCCGTGGCAGTGCTAAGGATGTCCGACTGATGTCTTAGGCCCACTAAGCCATCAGTCGGACATTCCCCCAGGGCTCCTGGACTGCTGGAGGGCGCAGGCCAGACTGAGGGGACCCCCCCCGCCCCCAAGTGCACGAATTTTGTGCATCGGGCCTCTAGGTGCTTTATAAAACTCATGGCTCCTTAATACTTAGTAGTATCTACTAACCAAGACTTCTCAGGCACCTTTCTTTCCTACACATCCAAATAAAACAAAATAAGGTCCAAAAGCCCTAGCCAGTTTTGTGCAGTAGTTAGAGCCTTTGCCCATAAATTGTTTGCAAGAGGTAGAGCTTAATTTCTCTCCCCTGAGTGTCCCTACCAATGAATAAAAATATGGCAAAGTGACAGTGTATGACTTCTGAGGAGAGGTCAAAAGAGGCATTGTGGCTTCCTCCTTGCTGTCACTGTTGGAACACTCATTCTGG